GCTGGTCCTTGCGCCAGCCCCGTGGCTGGGAGCGTGTCGCGGGGTGGCTGTCAGCCCTGCTGCGCTCCCCCATGGCCCAGTTCCTCCCAGTGCCTCAGTGCAGCGCTTCCCGGTGCCCCACGTTCCATCTCCGAGCTCAGGAGGCCCTTGTGCAAATGTAAGGTCTTCCTCCTCATCTTCCTCTTTCCCCTCCTCGTCTTCCTCTTTCTTCTCCTCATCTTACTTTTTCCTCTCCTTCTCCACCACTTCTTCTTCCTATTCTTCTTCCTCCTCCTCGTCCTCCTCATCATCATCCTCCTTCTCATCCTTCTCCTCTTCTTCCTCATCTTCTTCCTCTTCGTCTTCCTCTTCTTCTTCCTCCTCTTCCTCTTCTTCCTCTTTATCTTCTTCCTCATATTATTCCTTCTCCTTGTCCTCCTCATCTTCTTCCTCTTCTTTCTCATCTTATTCCTCCTCATCTTCTTCCTCCTCCTTGTCCTCATCTTCTTCCTCTTCCTCCTCATCTTCTTCCTCTTCCTCCTCATCTTCTTCCTGCTCCTTGTCCTCATCTTCCTCCTCATCTTATTCCTTCTCCTTGTCTCCTCATCTTCTTCCTCTTCTTTCTCATCTTATTCCTCCTCGTCCTCGTCGTCCTCCTCCTCCTCCTCTCCTTCCTCCTTTTCCTTCTCTTCTTCCTCTTCCTCCTCCTCCTCCTTCGGAGGGATGGCCCAGCACAGAGCACAGCAACTTTGAGGCTCCCCACCCCACCATCCCCAAATGCCACTGGGCTCCTGGTGTGCCACCCCGCCGGGCTTGGGCGAAGGTACCCCTGGGTGGCGGGGCAGGGGGGACCCATGGGACCCCGAGGGACTGGGGCGCAGGCTGCCACGTGCCGACGGCGGGCCGCTGGCCTGGCAGAGAAGAAGCAGTACCGTGAGTCCTACATCAGCGACACCCTCGACCTGGACATGGAGCAGCTGGAGAAGCGATCCCGGGCCCAGCATCCGGCACAAACGCCTCTCCCGGCACTCCACTGCCAGCCACAGCAGCTCCCACACCTCCGGCATCGAGGCCGACCCCAAACCCAGGGAGATGGGGCCTGAGGACGCCTTCTCGGGCACCGGCGCCCACCGCAAGCTGAAGACCTGCAGCTCCATGACCAGCCACGGCAGCTCCCACACCTCCGGGGTGGAGAGCGGTGGGAAGGACCGGCTGGAAGAGGACTCCCAGGACGATGGTGAGACACCAGCTGAGCGGGAGCTTTCCAGCTTGGGTCTTGCCAGCTGACTGGGGTTGGAAGGTGCTCTGGAGGGGCACGTGAATGACTTCTCCTGCCTCTTCCTCGCCTGCAGAAATTGAGATGCTGGTGGATGACCCCCGGGAGCTGGAGCAGGCTGGCGAGATGGAGGTGAGCCCCGACATGTGCGTCTACATCACGGAGGACATGCTGCTGTCGCGCAAGTTCAACGGACACTCGGGTAAGGCGGGGGGCCGG